CCGGGCTTTTCTTTTCTTTTCTTTTCATCCTTTATGACTTTCTCATCGGCTTCTTGTGAGTCAGAGTCGTTGAGTGAAACACAACACAAAACGCCAGTCACTGCGGATTTGCGTTATCTTACTGGATGCAAAACCAAGTCAGATAAGAGAAGTCACGTAAGTGCAGCAGGGAGGGGGGCGGGAGGGACGCAGGGAAAGACCCCCTGGGGAAGGGAGCCGCCCACCGACCCTCAGCGGAAGGGGGTGGCCCCCAGCCCCAGGACTGGAGATCCGCGGAATGCCCTCCGGTGGGGGTTGGGGCCCTGGAGAGACAGAACAGACCCCATCTTAATCTCCAAGGTTCCTGTCTGTTGACTTACAGTGAAACCTTGGCCACTGGCCTAACCGGTTAGACCGGCTGTGGATTAAGTCAGTGCCCCGGAGGCCAGACACACCTCTCCCTCGAATGTTTGCTCCCACACGCCCAGCTGCTCAGTCTGCAGACACAGCAAATGAGGCTCTTTGCACAGGCTGTTGCTGAACCCCCAGGGCTGGCCTCCCTTCCCCTCACCTTTATGCAAGCTCTGCCTGTAAACAGCCAATGGGGCGTCCACACATTTAGACATTTAGACACTTCATCTCTCAACAGAAGAATGGATTCACAAATCCGCCAGAGACCCACATGTGAAAGAGAAATCTGCCAAACCTTCAGGAAAAAAAAAAAACAAAAAAAAAAACTCAAGGGAAGATCTTTATCATCTTCCCTTAGAAGAGACGTTTTAGATAAGACACCTAAAGCCTGAGCGTTTAGCAGAATTCAAAGCCCCTGTGCTTCAAAGAGATGAACAAAAGAAGAGATAAGCCACTGGTGGGAGGGAAGCATTTCCAAATGAATACAACTCCGTAATAATAGAACCATAAAATGTAAACACACACACACACACACACACAGCCAACGCTCCTAAGTACCAAAATACTTGTGATGGCATAGGTCACATCACATCTCTTGGGGACTCAGCATATACAATTGTGTAGTCCCAACATTACATAGCACAGATTCGGGCACCGGCTTTATTCAGGTATACATTGTATTATACCTCTTACGTGGATGTTTTGTAGAAGTCTCCGAATGTTTTTGAACTTCTCATTTATTGAATAAGCACCTGTCACAGTGCCTGCCATACAGAGAACTCAATAACCAGGAAGGAAGGAAGGGGGGAAGGAAGGAAGGAAGGAAGGAAGGAAGGAAGGAAGGAAGGAAGGATGAATGGGTAGGTGGGTGGGGGGATGGGGGGATGGATGGATGGGTGAATGGGTAGATGGATGGATGGATGGGTAGGTGGGTAGATGGATGGATGGGTG